CCATTCCTGACCATTTATTGTATATACTATATTTATGTATATGGGCAGGTGATTCAACAGTCGACCAGCACCCATGGGAGAACTTTGAATTGCAGTCAGAGTCAGCCCACACTGTCCATAGGTTGTCCACAGACAGAGAGTCCATTCATTCAGCGAAAACTGTGTGTCATTTAGCAACTATTCAGCCATCCATTTGCCATATACGATAATTACCTGCAGCGAAAACAGAAAAATATAAACAAAAGCAATGCGATCTCGGTATCGATATGCAACTGCATACATATGTACATATATCGTTTGTCTTCCGCTTCTCAATTGAGCTGCTACGTAGTTTACTGGATTGCATAAGCTCCAGATGGAATGCAATCCAATCAACCAATACAAATCAATGAGATCGGATCGGATCGAGTGAAGTGAGATTCTAAATTTGTATATATACTCGCAAATAAATACATACATGTACTGTATTGTATTTTATGTCTCTATTTGTTCGAACCGCCTGAAACTGGAAGCCAGAACATTCGGAGCCCTTGGTTTGTTGTGAACGCCCGATAAGCGTACCGCTCAAGCCTGGGTCAAGTGCCAAGGCTAGCATCTATATATATACATATATGTATGTACTATGTAGTCAGCTACAGTTTGTTACCCCTCCAGCATTCTTCACATCTCGCGGTTCTGTACAAGCTAAGCCCAAGCTTAGTAGAGCCAGTAATTTTATACCCTAGAAAATGGTCCTCTTGTATAATTGTTTAAGAAGTTTTCAGCGCCCAGAAGAAAGCACTTTCGGCTTATATTAGTTGGTTTATTGAGAGAAACTTCGATGGTAGATTGGAAAAACTAAGAATATTCTTGCTGTTCTTCATGATAAACGGATGTTATTCTTATCTTGAGAATATCAAACCGACCTAAGTCTTATCGTAGGTATAACTCTCATAGTAACAGTCGACCCCCAAAAACGAGTGTTGCCAAGAACTTCGGATTTATTGGATATGGTAGAGTATCAAAACCTTCGGCCACCTAAGAATTTCATGCTCGTCCCATTCGTTTTTCTATTTTTCCACGATTATAAAAAATATACATTTTTATGGATGGCCATATAGAGACCGGTCGCAATACACAAATTCGGCAATGGAATATTTGCAAATGTTTGTGCCAGATTATACCGTGATGGAGGGAGGAAAATCATTGGGTGGTCCCATGTCAAGTACTTTCAGGAGTAATTAGAATTGTTCCCGAAACTCAGCCTGATAAGCACACATATCGAACCGAGCAATTGCGCAATTGCCCAAAACTGAAATGGGACTATGGCGAGGACTGGTATTTACTCGTAAAACCCTTAACTGGGAACGATTTGAATATGAATAATATTGACGCTAAGTACAACACGGAAGATCTTTATAGTTTTATAGTTATAGATATATTTATTAGCAGTTTTTTTAAGGATTTATCAGTTGGAAGATATCTTTTCAAATTGTGAGATTAAACCATTTAAAAACCATTTAAACAATAATTTCATTCAGAGACCTGAACAGGTGATAAGAATATTTTATTGCCATATACCAAAGGTACCCTAACGGTACAGCAGGAATCAGAAATGAATGAACTGTATACGATTGATAATCCCCAATAGTTTCATATTAATTGATAGAGTTTCGGAACCTTTGAACGGCAACTTAAATCTACTACTTCTGGTATGTACAGTTGTAAAAGATTCTCGTACCTACAAACATATGTACTATATATGATTATAATCGTATGGTTATTCTTAAGCAAAGGAAGGTGATTCATACTGATTTTAGAAGAACTTCACAAAAGTAGTGCAGCTAACAATGAATATTATTTACTCTATCTCTGATGGACAGGGGATTTTACTTGATTTTATTGGAAGTGTGGAAGATTTATAATTAAGTAGGGAACAAACCGAATAGTGAACCTATGGAAAGATGATCTTTTCACACAAAATAATATTTAATTTGATCAAACACGATGTGATATATGGAACTTATATACCATATAAGTGAATTATTATTATGTTTCCGAAAATATCTAAATTCTGTTCTGTAAAAAATCGAACGATCAGGCGGATTGATTAAGTCAATCAACCCCAATCAGTTTTGGTTTTAATACGAATCTGATAAATGAAAGCGAAAGTGCTAGGTCCAGAGAAGCGATAATACGAGTACCTCTGCCTCCTACCGATGCCCACACTCAAAAATTTCTCCCTGGAGATCATTGATAAGCGTTCACCTGAAACGTACCCGGACGTGCGTTACTACAAGTGCAAACCATATGTAGGGAGTAATTAATTCATGTTTTTCAATACCATACCCTTTGTTATACGTTACTATCTACTGCTCCCTCTCTCTCTGTTTTAGTCTAAGGCTGTTTCACTCTATCGCTGAGTGGATTGTTATTTTTGGTATGAAATTAATAAATCCCCCACCCAGTCAATAGAGCGAGGGGGTGGCAAACGTTATTGTTTCGATTGATTGGTCCGAACAAAAAATAGGAAAACCATTCATTCAAGTGGTTCCTCCGGCTGGGGGGGCTTATCTAATGGACTTTTGGTACTTTTCAGTGGGTGGGTATCGGACCGGTCGGGGTGGGGTATCGAATTATCGCTCGAATGACATAAATCCATCGATCGATTGTGGAGAACTTTCCCTATCGAAGGAATTTGGTGGTGCCCACGATAAGAAGGCCGGGAAAAGGTCGTCCAAAAGGGGACCTTTTTTTTGGCGGCCAGTGCAGAATGCGCTTAATGCGATCGGTTCGGATCGATAGCTGATGAGAGCCTGGATAACCTTGAAACGAAATTGTTTTCCCGCAAGGCCGAATATCGCACATATATCATACATTTTCTGCGTCCCACGTGTGTGTTCAAGAGCCAAGGGTTGGCCTGACCGGACCCCCAATCGATATCCATGACCGTTAATGAATGACTGGAATGTGTGGCTCTCCACTTAAAATTCAGATACAGTGACGGAGGGAGAGAGAGCAAGAGAAGCAGGGGTTACGCAACCAGAGCAATTTGTTTCTGATGGATAATCGATGGGAATTATTTAAATATTTAAGACATAACCGAGTAGGGCAAGCTCAAACACGCCCACGCTCGGTCAGCTTTTGCGGGGGCTTCATGATGCGAGTGTGAGAGAGAGGGAGAGTGAGAGGAGTGGAGTACTAAACTGTGTCAGTCTGACACACACACACACAGAAAATCAGGCATAGTATAAAAGTATAAAAGAAATGCTCATACCCTATCTCGCAAAATCCTCCCGCAAAAAAAAAAGCAAGAAACGTGGGAGTGATGGCAAAAAGGAAAAAAAGAACTTAAGACCGCTCTGCAGGGTTCTGTGACGTGGGCGAAGCAAGCTCCCCGTCTGATTCCGATTGTGTAATCTAATAGGAGAGTACCCATGGAGCTTTCGAGTACAGGGCATGCAAACATACATATGTATGTACATATGACAGAGTATGGTAATCATGGGTACCAACCTTAGCGCCGGTGAACTTATCAAAGTCATGCGTACGACATTGCTGTAAAAAGCTACGGCTGGGTTTTTGCTGTTCGCTTGGATTTGAGTTTGAGCTTCTAGTTTGCTTTTTCCGTATTTGAGTCGGGCCATGAATGCCCTTGAGTTTGTCCTTTTTGGGCAGCGGATAGCGGCAGAGGCTGGCGCAGACGCCGCCACATTCACAGTTGTAGCAGCGACAACAGCGTATAACGCTTCGCTTGTTAACTGGTTTCGCTTTGAAGCTTGGTATAACAGATTTTCCGTAGCAGCAGCATTAGTGTAGCGGGAGAGAGAGCCGCAAAGAGCGACGGCGACGAGCGTAGGAGGCTCGTCACCGGCGTGCGCATATCTCACCCAGCTACATATGTATTTGTATGTCCATATGTATGTATGTACATATATATGCGCGCATGTAAGAGCTTGGCAGTATCGGGGTATGTGTGTGGGTAGGTTGCACGTGCTTTCAATGAACGCGACCACCATGACCACCCCACCATGTGAACCAGTAGCTACCAGTTCAAAGGATGATGCAAGCTCCTGCCTCAGTGGCGTTATTCTATTAATAGCCGTAAATATTAGACGCATGCGCCGACAAGGGTGTCCTGTGTCCTGTCAAAAGGTTAATTTAAGGTGAAACCACATGTCAGTCCAAAGCAGACCATCGCCACAGGTTGCTAGCCAAACATTTGTACATCTGTATATAATACAAGCAATGAAAGTGGTTTCCGTTGCTGGAATATGATGGCATCCATACAAATGGCGGTTTTATTAATAGGCTGCCACTACGTTAACACAAAGTTCAAAATTTTCCACAAAGTGCTGCCATACTGGTAAAAAAAGATAAGCAATTTTCGTCAAAGAAAAGTGAATTTTCTTTGTAACATGGACTTTCCATCAACATATCCTATAAATTAGGTTTCCAGAGGATATATATTATATATATATGTTATATATTTGATTGCAAAAATGGGAAGCATGAAAAAAATCGTTCAGTAGTGAGACCGTACAGCCTCTGTGATGGGAAAATACCAAAACTGTCGTCACTACCATCGCGGCTACCAATTTGAAAATGGTATATTTCTGAGGATATTTGATCGATAAATGCTCTCTCCTGCGACGAAAAAATGAGTCAAAATCTTGAGTGGCTATAAGTGGTCAAGTAAATGGTTAGTCAAAATAAGGTACATGAAAGTACTTAAAAGTAGTTGATCTTGTAGAAAAAGGATTCTTAAATGGGATAAAATTAAGTGGGCAATGCTGACCGTTATGTATAGCTAGTAATATTCGATGGAATATCAAAATTGAGGAATATGTATAATAGAACTTGAATTCGTCAGTATATTTACGGTATATTTCTGAGGGTCGGACAGTATATTTTAACGGTCACACTGGATAAAGCAGGCCGAAGTTTCTCGTCGAATTGGAATTTCATATAAGAATTTCAGACAAAACGTAAACAGCAACAGCCCGTCAACAGTCAGTGAATTTTTCGCGAGAGAAAACTTTTTAAATTTGAAATAAACAACACAACCAAATCAAGCAAAATGGTTCGCCGTGGACGTTCAGCCAGCCCCCCACCATCCGCCAGACGGTAAGTGGTTGAAGAAAATACATATTCTTTGGACAAAGAAACGCCACAATTTGCAGCGTTGTGCGAGAAAAATGGCCAAGGGAAGAGGAAGCTTCATAGTTTCATAACCAGAGCAGATTTTGATCTTCTTCTTATCGCCAGTCGGCTTCTGGAACTTCCCTTGGACCGAAGAAATGGGCTAAGGTTACGTAACCTAAAAAAAGAAGGGCACAAAGAGAATGAGATGTTTCCGTGCAAAGTCCACACAATACAAAAACTAATTGGGTTTTTTGTTTTTATATCCCAATAGCTCTGCTCCAGCACCCGCTCGCGCTGCCGCCCCAGTGCCGGCACGTGCTGCCGCCCCACCACCGCCGCCAGCACCCATGGCCGCACCACCAAGCGCCGTCGGAATGCCGGCCCCCCAGCAGCCTTCGATGTTCCAGCAAATGGCCGCCACCGCTGGCGGTGTTGCAATTGGCTCCGCCATCGGTCACACCGTGGGCCACGGTCTCACATCCATGTTCAGCGGCTCTGGCGACAAGGAAGCAGCGGCCCCAGCACCGGCTGCCGCGGCGCCCCCGCAACAACAGCAGCAGTACTACGCTCAGCCGAACGAGCCCCAGGGTGCTTGTGCCTGGGAGATGAAACAGTTCATCCAGTGCGCCCAGGGCCAGGCGGATCTGACGCTCTGCGAGGGATTCAATGAGGCGCTGAGGCAGTGCAAGTCTCAGAATCACATGCAGTAGATGTGCTGGAAGACAACACAACAACAACAACAACACAACAGCATACTTGAGAGAAGACCCTCGTACACACCGTCACCTACGTCACCAACATCGACAGACATCAATAGTCGTAATATGTTGAGCTAAAGTTGTTGTTGTAGTTTTTTTTTCGTTAGTTTTAATTATTTAGCCCGAGAATCCAGAAAAGGAGGAAAATTGTTTAACTGTAGTGCAAAATATTGTTCAATAGAAACCCCATCGGCAGCCCCATCGCTGCCGATCAAAAAAATACGAAAATTGTGTTCTTTGTCTTCTTTGGGATGGATTATGAAAAATGGATCAATGCTGCACATTTTGCACTCAATTGTGAAATAGGAGGGGAATTGACGAACAAAAAAAAAATAAAGTGTGTCGTGTGACAATGCTCTTCTAAAAATATATTGGTTTACTCAAGTTTTCCTATTTATTTCCCCGATTCCTTGTCACGTGCAAACAATCGTGTTTTCGTTTTCGTGAAATTTTCTACTGTTCTGGTGAAAATTGTTGACGAGCTCGGCGTCCCGAACCGAAGCGATATTGATAAACATGTTTACGAGCAGCTAAGTGGAAAATATTTATACCTTCTACGTACATACATTCGTATGTACATATATAGAGTATATAATGCATTCGTACAGCAGGTGCAGTTGTCTTTAAAAGTACTATGTGCTTGCAGTGATGCAGACTTTCATTTGGGGTTTTTGTAGGCATGTTTAGCAAGAAAAGCCGCGTCTATTTCGGTCTGTGCCTCTTTGTATGTGTTTCTATAATAAATTTGTATTGTATTTGTATTTGCGTAATTACAGCCTTCCCTCCCCTGTATGAGGAACAAACAGCTATTTGAGTATCACATGTGTAGCAGAATCACACAGGAAGGTTCGATCTAGACTCTAGAGGTACCAAAAGCTTCGGGTTCCAGAGCTACTTGAGCGACGTCCATCACGATGCAATAAATGTAGTGCTTCTGTACTGTACAGATTTATAAGACCCAATTCAAGATACAAAATAAATTTATTAGTATGTTAAATTCTATTTCTTTATGACAAACATTTTGGGCCCTGCCAAGAGCTTAATTACTCGCACATTCGTATATTGCTGCAGTGAAGAGCATTTACTTAGAGCTGGTGTACTTCGTGACGGCCTTGGTTCCCTCACTGACGGCGTGCTTGGCCAGCTCTCCCGGCAGAAGTAGCCGCACAGCCGTTTGGATTTCCCGACTTGTGATGGTGGACTTTTTGTTGTAGTGACCCAAACGAGAGGCTTCCGAGGCAATGCGCTCGAAGATATCGTTTACAAAGCTGTTCATGATGCTCATCGCCTTGGAGGAGACACCAGTGTCCGGGTGGACTTGCTTCAGAACTTTGTAGATATAGATGGCATAGCTCTCCTTCCTGACCTTGCGCCTCTTCTTCTTGTCGGTAGTGTTGATGTGGATGTTCTTCTGTGCCTTTCCAGCCTTCTTGGTTGCGTTCCCGCTTGCAGTTTTCGGTGGCATTCTGAAGTTTCACGATTTCGAAATTCACTCAATACTCAACACAACGCTTGCCGTGCGGGGCGCTCAGCATTATACTTCTTTGCGAGCAGTCTGTTCAGGTTTAATGCAAACTAAACTACCAAGTAAATGAGTCCGGAGATGCTCTCCAGCTGGCTGTGTGATAGCCTGGTACTTTGCATTGCAGACTGGCTACGATTCTACTGGCTACTTGCACCCGAAGACACCGAAATGCAGCAGAGTGAGGGTCAGTCTTCTATTTATAGCAAACACCTGAAGACACGAGTGATGCCGAGGAGTGAGCTTATGTCCGACTCGCTCGCATATGCAATCGAAGCACACGGCCGAACTCTCACTCGAACACTCCCTCCACAAACTGCACATATAATGGTTCAGCAATTCCTCCGACCACTTATTCTGCGCTGAGAAGTGTACGACGTGCATTGTGGTACATGAAAATGACCCGAACCAAGGCGACTGCTCGTTTCTCGAACTTCGGTAATGCGACAGCCGAAAGACCAGCCTACAGGGCCGCACGAAAAAGTGCTCCGGCCGACGCAAGATCATTTTGGGGTAAGAAGAAAATGCACTTTTATTGAAGCCCTTATTAAAGAATGCCCTGCAGCGCATATTTGATTGATTTTTTATGTTTCTCCAGCGGCAAATTTCAAATCCCGGATTACGGGCTCTCCGTCGCCGGAGACTTCTGCAAAGAAGTCCCCAAGCCCAGTGCCAGTTCCAGTCCCAGGAACACATCCCCCAACCCGGGACATGGTAGACGCCTCGATTAAGAGCTTGAATGAACGTGGTGGCTTTTCATATTTGGCGATCAAGAAGTATATTGCGGCCGAATACAAATGCGATGCCCAGAAGCTGACTCCATTCATCAAGAAGTATTTGAAGTCGGCCGTTGCCGATGGAAAGCTGATCCAAACATCGGGCACAGGTGCGTCTGGCTCGTTCAAGCTGTCAGCATCTGTGGAGCGGACGGATAAAGAAGCCAAGAAAGAGAGAAAAGCCAAGAACACAGCAAGCCCCAAAAGGGCGGCCAGAGCCGCGACAAGAAGCCAAATGCGAAATGAAGCGAAAATGTTAGACGCCGCCAAGAAGACCGCCCGGCGCGGATGATGCGAATTGAGAAAGGACAAAGGGCAAGGAGGAAGGAGGAAGGAGGAAGGAGGAAGACTGATGATGAAAACTGGAACCCTGAAGGCGAAGCCGTCAGTGGCAAAAGTCAAGTCGAGCCCTGCAAAGACAACGGCCCTAGCAAGGGCACTAGCTCTAAACGACGACGATGGCCTAAACGAGAACGAGGACGTGGATGTGCACGATAGATGGCCGGATACGAAATATTAGGTAGACTTAGACAAACTATATCGGAAGAGACCCAAATTATCGTTATACATATATGTACTATGTGTTTAATATAAGGGAGAACAAAAATATAGAAAACATTTTTTCGGTGAACTGCGCTGCTGGCTAACCGGGAAAGCCCCGCATTTTGTTGAGCATCGTTATGGTGGCAGCCACCAGGGGTCGGGATCCCGTCACCAACACATCGAATTCACTTTTCATGCCGAATTTTTGGTCCCCGTATTTGGCTTGAACGTGTTCAAAGAAGGCATTGACGGAGGCGGACGTTTGCGAAGTGTCCTTTTTGCCGTCCTGCTCGCACAGGCCTCGCCAGGTTCTGGCATTGCGCTTGGCTCGCTGCATCTCCTCCATGACATGCCACTCCTCGTCTGGCAAAATTTCGCCCTCTGAGAAGTTGGGGCAGGGCACAAAGTGTGCCTCGTCGAAGTTCACATTGAAGCGAAGGATTGTGAGCAGGTCTTTGGCATTGGAATCGCTGGTCTTGTTGTACAGCAGGATCTTTGTGGCGCGATGAGAGCGAGTGAGAGTGTAGAACCACTCGCGGCAGACCATCATCGATTCCACAGAGTCGGCAGTGTCCAAATAGACGTTGTACATGTCGTGCTTGACTATATCGAAGTGTCCCACCGACTCAAAGGTCTCAAGGCCGCGCATTGCTGCCTGGGTCAGTTGGGTGCACTTGGGATCCAGGTCCAGATTCAGTCCCACCACAATCTCGGGCTTGTGGCGTCTGAGGTAGTCGTAGGCCAGCTGGGTGGCCAATGAGGCATTCAACTTTACGGAGTGGTTGGCCTTGGTGAGAAAACGCTTGTGGCTGGGATTTGCCTCGGTCAGCGCATTGAATGTCGGGACACGGTAGAGCTTGGCGCCCATCTGCTTGGCCTTCTGGGCCAGGACCTCACAGCACTCCGGCTGGCTCACATTTGTGAAGATGGTGGCCGCCGGCTTCATGATTGCTCCCTTGGCCCAAGCAATGTCCCGCATGGACTCGCTCAGGTTGGAGCCCTGCTCCCAGCCCAGAGTGCTGATGCCGATTGTTTTCGCATGTAAGGTGATGTTGGCGGAATCGCTGGCGCCTCCACGGCCCACCTCCACAATGGCAACATCCACATTCGCGTCGCGGAACGCCCGGAAGGCCATGGCCGTCAAGATTTGGCTGTGGGCCGGTGTGGGATCCATGTCAGCCAGCTCCGGATAGATTTTTTGGATTAGCTCGGTGAACTGAGCCTCGCTCAGAGGCTCTCCATTGATGCGGATTCTCTCGTACGAATACATGAGGTGCGGGGAGCAAAGAAGGCCGGTCTTGATGCCATGCGCCGTCAAGATATTCTGCACAATGCCACACGTGGTTCCTTTACCCTTCGACCCTGCCACCTGAATGACTGGAATGCTCTCCAATTGTTCCTTGGATACACCCATCTTGTGCAAGAGCTCCAGGGTGTGTTCTATGAAAGGATCCACCTGAGCTTTGCTCATCTTCGACCGCATGCGACCGAGCACAGGCTCGAAGGAATGAAAGATGTTCAACCGTCGGACGGCCTCCAGGTAGGCCATACGCTCGGGCGACTTGGCCTGCTCCTCCGGCTCTTGGGGATCTGCGGCAGATTTATTGGGTCCTACGGAGGCCGCTGTAGCTGCAGCTGAAGCCTTGCTAACCTGCTGCATCTTTTTCAGTTGAAGGTCGCGTCCCGCCTGCTGCTTGGCACTCAGTTCCTTAAGAAGCTGGGCCTGGATCTTCTGTGAGCCGTGCATGCGATTCATCCAGGACTTGCGCTGATCCTCGGCTGAGGAGCCTTTGGTTTCATTATCGCGCTCTGCCTTATTTTGCATCGATTGCTGCTGCTGCTTCCAGTTAGATTGTCCGGGAGTCGGCCCCATGCTTGGGCGAACGCCCACGCCCACGCCAACGCCAACGACTCCTTGGTCTGGTTTGACCCCGCCTTGGGCTGCCAGTTTTGCTTTGAGCTGCATTTCGGCTGAATATTTGCTCCACTTGGCCCGCTGGTCGGAAAAGCTGGGCACTGAAGCGGCTGCAGTTGGTTAGAGTGCATATGCAGGAGAAAGGAGTATGAATCGGAGTCAGAGAGGGAGTAGGAATAGAAATAGAAATATTATTATTACCTGTCTTGTGGCCAGGCAATGGGTAACGACTGTTTCCTGGATTTCCTGTATTTCCTCTTTTCCCTTCCGGATTAGTATCCCCGGGAACCGATGGCTGGGCCTCCGAGGACTCCGGCTCCTGTTCCGTCTTGGGCTTGTAGCCCTTGAAGAATTTATTGCTCGCGTGAGCAGTGCCCTGCCAGACCGTTGGACCCGCGCGACGGACCTTCGACATCGTTTTTATTAACGAAATCATGGTTTTTTTTTTGTTCGATCCCTCTTTTTCGATCCCTTTTCAGCGGCCTGAAACTTTAGGGTCTAAAACTATAGCTCAGAAAATATAAAAATAATTTTTCTAAAAACGGAATGTACGAACTTTGATTTAAGGTACTCTTGGAAGAATGTTTAGTAACTGATGTGGGGGATAGAATCCGGAAATGTAAGAGTCTGACAGATAAAGAAACGGTAGAGCGGGGAATAGTGTTTGTTTATGGGAATAAGACAGACTACAGTCTATGGTGTGTAACAATGATTAGAAAATCTACACCTATATTGTTGTAAACATTTGAAAACCAAATCATCAATACCGTCATTGCCGGAACATCAGATCATTACGACTCGCAAGGACTCGTAAGGACTGTCGATTATATTTTGAAACTAGCTGCTCTTCCAGCATCCTTTTATGAAATCGTGGCATCCCAGTCGGACTGGGACCAAAATATATTTTGTATGCATTCTAATGGAGGCGGGGCAGCATGGCCATCTCTAGGCTTCAGACCCATCGCGTAACTAAAAGTCGGGAAATTATCCTCACAATGAGCGTACAATTTCGATTGAACAAAGAAGAATGCTTTAAAATTACATTTAACAAGATCTGACGATTACAGTTCAAAATAAATACAAAATTACTTTAATGTTTGTGAAACCTGGCATGCCCTTTAGGTTGCAGTGGCGCGCCTGGCGACTAAGGACGAGTACCGGCTCACAGCGTATCGAACAAACTCGTTTTCAGCAAAATCGGTATCGTAATCGCCGTCGTGTGAAAAGAGGAACTAATGTTCCAGTTGGAAAACAACAAAAAATTACTTCCCATACCGGGAATCGAACCCGGGCCTTCTGGGTGAAAGCCAGATATCCTAGCCACTAGACCATATGGGATATGATGAGAATTGGTCTAGAGTGCGTTTTCTTTGAAATTCCTGTGAGTTGATTATTATTTCAATAATGTATTCGCTAATCAGAGCGCACCGAAACCAAAACCTATAAGTTTCCACAACAATTTAAAAATTAAATCAACGTAGACATCATGAAAAAGGAGAAAAAAGAATCAAAAGCAGATAAAAAAAAGAAGCTTTTGACAGCTTCCCATACCGGGAATTGAACCCGGGCCTTCCGGGTGAGAGCCGGATATCCTAACCACTAGACAATATGGGAGATGTGCGCCTGCAGACTAAAGCATAAATATGTGCCAATGTCGTGCGTCAACCTCAACATTTCCCTATTTACAATGTGTTCGCTGCTATTTATGTACATATGTATGTTATGTATTTGGCAATTCCCTTCCTTAAGGGCTTTCATTTCGATTGTTCTGGTTTTTGGGGTCTTCAATCTGGGTCTTCAGCACTGCCATCTCATTTCCCTCAGCAGCAAATCGTTTTTCGTCTGGAGTTTGCTAGTCCCTGAGCACTTAGTCCCAAAGCGTATGGAAGTTAGCTCGAGCGTACTCCATTGTGCTTAAAAGGGTTAAAATAGACTTCACTGTTAGGCACTATTAGGATAGTTTCGTGAATTCAGAACTAGGAATTATACACACCTCAAACACACACTGTTTGTCCCCCTGGCGCCACTGCAAGTTGGGTCTCACGGCCTTCCTGAAGACCCATTCTTTATATTGGAATCGGTAATCCAGAGTCCGACTGGGATGCCACGATTTCATAAAAGGATGCTGGAAGAGCAGCTAGTTTCAAAATATAATCGACAGTCTTTACGAGTCCTTGCGAGTCGTAATGATCTGATGTTCCGACAATGACGGTATTGATGATTTGGTTTTCAAATGTTTACAACAATATAGGTGTAGATTTTCGAATCATTGTTACACACCATAGACTACAGTCTGTCTTATTCCCATAAACAAACACTATTCCCCGCTCTACCGTTTCTTTATCTGTCAGACTCTTACATTTCCGGATTCTATCCCCCACATCAGTTACTAAACATTCTTCCAAGAGTACCTTAAATCAAAGTTCGTACATTCCGTTTTTAGAAAAATTATTTTTATATTTTCTGAGCTATAGTTTTAGACCCTAAAGTTTCAGGCCGCTGAAAAGGGATCGAAAGAAAAACGATGATTTCGTTAATAAAAACGATGTCGAAGGTCCGTCGCGCGGGTCCAACGGTCTGGCAGGGCACTGCTCACGCGAGCAATAAATTCTTCAAGGGCTACAAGCCCAAGACGGAACAGGAGCCGGAGTCCTCGGAGGCCCAGCCATCGGTTCCCGGGGATACTAATCCGGAAGGGAAAAGAGGAAATACAGGAAATCCAGGAAACAGTCGTTACCCATTGCCTGGCCACAAGACAGGTAATAATAATATTTCTATTTCTATTCCTACTCCCTCTCTGACTCCGATTCATACTCCTTTCTCCTGCATATGCACTCTAACCAACTGCAGCCGCTTCAGTGCCCAGCTTTTCCGACCAGCGGGCCAAGTGGAGCAAATATTCAGCCGAAATGCAGCTCAAAGCAAAACTGGCAGCCCAAGGCGGGGTCAAACCAGACCAAGGAGTCGTTGGCGTGGGCGTGGGCGTGGGCGTGGGCGTGGGCGTTCGCCCAAGCATGGGGCCGACTCCCGGACAATCTAACTGGAAGCAACAGCAGCAGTCGATGCAAAATAAGGCAGAGCGCGATAATGAAACCAAAGGCTCCTCAGCCGAGGATCAGCGCAAGTCCTGGATGAATCGCATGCACGGCTCACAGAAGATCCAGGCCCAGCTTCTTAAGGAACTGAGTGCCAAGCAGCAGGCGGGACGCGACCTTCAACTGAAAAAGATGCAGCAGGTTAGCAAGGCTTCAGCTGCAGCTACAGCGGCCTCCGTAGGACCCAATAAATCTGCCGCAGATCCCCAAGAGCCGGAGGAGCAGGCCAAGTCGCCCGAGCGTATGGCCTACCTGGAGGCCGTCCGACGGTTGAACATCTTTCATTCCTTCGAGCCTGTGCTCGGTCGCATGCGGTCGAAGATGAGCAAAGCTCAGGTGGATCCTTTCATAGAACACACCCTGGAGCTCTTGCACAAGATGGGTGTATCCAAGGAACAATTGGAGAGCATTCCAGTCATTCAGGTGGCAGGGTCGAAGGGTAAAGGAACCACGTGTGGCATTGTGCAGAATATCTTGACGGCGCATGGCATCAAGACCGGCCTTCTTTGCTCCCCGCACCTCATGTATTCGTACGAGAGAATCCGCATCAATGGAGAGCCTCTAAGCGAGGCTCAGTTCACCGAGCTAATCCACAAAATCTATCCGGAGCTGGCTGACATGGATCCCACACCGGCCCACAGCCAAATCTTGACGGCCATGGCCTTCCGGGCGTTCCGCGACGCGAATGTGGATGTTGCCATTGTGGAGGTGGGCCGTGGAGGCGCCAGCGATTCCGCCAACATCACCTTACATGCGAAAACAATCGGCATCAGCACTCTGGGCTGGGAGCAGGGCTCCAACCTGAGCGAGTCCATGCGGGACATTGCTTGGGCCAAGGGAGCAATCATGAAGCCGGCGGCCACCATCTTCACAAATGTGAGCCAGCCGGAGTGCTGTGAGGTCCTGGCCCAGAAGGCCAAGCAGATGGGCGCCAAGCTCTACCGTGTCCCGACATTCAATGCGCTGACCGAGGCAAATCCCAGCCACAAGCGTTTTCTCACCAAGGCCAACCACTCCGTAAAGTTGAATGCCTCATTGGCCACCCAGCTGGCCTACGACTACCTCAGACGCCACAAGCCCGAGATTGTGGTGGGACTGAATCTGGACCTGGATCCCAAGTGCACCCAACTGACCCAGGCAGCAATGCGCGGCCTTGAGACCTTTGAGTCGGTGGGACACTTCGATATAGTCAAGCACGACATGTACAACGTCTATTTGGACACTGCCGACTCTGTGGAATCGATGATGGTCTGCCGCGAGTGGTTCTACACTCTCACTCGCTCTCATCGCGCCACAAAGATCCTGCTGTACAACAAGACCAGCGATTCCAATGCCAAAGACCTGCTCACAATCCTTCGCTTCAATGTGAACTTCGACGAGGCACACTTTGTGCCCTGCCCCAACTTCTCAGAGGGCGAAATTTTGCCAGACGAGGAGTGGCATGTCATGGAGGAGATGCAGCGAGCCAAGCGCAATGCCAGAACCTGGCGAGGCCTGTGCGAGCAGGACGGCAAAAAGGACACTTCGCAAACGTCCGCCTCCGTCAATGCCTTCTTTGAACACGTTCAAGCCAAATACGGGGACCAAAAATTCGGCATGAAAAGTGAATTCGATGTGTTGGTGACGGGATCCCGACCCCTGGTGGCTGCCACCATAACGATGCTCAACAAAATGCGGGGCTTTCCCGGTTAGCCAGCAGCGCAGTTCACCGAAAAAATGTTTTCTATATTTTTGTTCTCCCTTATATTAAACACATAGTACATATATGTATAACGATAATTTGGGTCTCTTCCGATATAGTTTGTCTAAGTCTACCTAATATTTCGTATCCGGCCATCTATCGTGCACATCCACGTCCTCGTTCTCGTTTAGGCCATCGTCGTCGTTTAGAGCTAGTGCCCTTGCTAGGGCCGTTGTCTTTGCAGGGCTCGACTTGACTTTTGCCACTGACGGCTTCGCCTTCAGGGTTCCAGTTTTCATCATCAGTCTTCCTCCTTCCTCCTTCCTCCTTCCTCCTTGCCCTTTGTCCTTTCTCAATTCGCATCATCCGCGCCGGGCGGTCTTCTTGGCGGCGTCTAACATTTTCGCTTCATTTCGCATTTGGCTTCTTGTCGCGGCTCTGGCCGCCCTTTTGGGGCTTGCTGTGTTCTTGGCTTTTCTCTCTTTCTTGGCTTCTTTATCCGTCCGCTCCACAGATGCTGACAGCTTGAACGAGCCAGACGCACCTGTGCCCGATGTTTGGATCAGCTTTCCATCGGCAACGGCCGACTTCAAATACTTCTTGATGAATGGAGTCAGCTTCTGGGCATCGCATTTGTATTCGGCCGCAATATACTTCTTGATCGCCAAATATGAAAAGCCACCACGTTCATTCAAGCTCTTAATCGAGGCGTCTACCATGTCCCGGGTTGGGGGATGTGTTCCTGGGACTGGAACTGGCACTGGGCTTGGGGACTTCTTTGCAGAAGTCTCCGGCGACGGAGAGCCCGTAATCCGGGATTTGAAATTTGCCGCTGGAGAAACATAAAAAATCAATCAAATATGCGCTGCAGGGCATTCTTTAATAAGGGCTTCAATAAAAGTGCATTTTCTTCTTACCCCAAAATGATCTTGCGTCGGCCGGAGCACTTTTTCGTGCGGCCCTGTAAGCTGGTCTTTCGGCTGTCGCATTACCGAAGTTCGAGAAACGAGCAGTCGCCTTGGTTCGGGTCATTTTCATGTACCACAATGCACGTCGTACACTTCTCAGCGCAGAATAAGTGGTCGGAGGAATTGCTGAACCATTATATGTGCAGTTTGTGGAGGGAGTGTTCGAGTGAGAGTTCGGCCGTGTGCTTCGATTGCATATGCGAGCGAGTCGGACATAAGCTCACTCCTCGGCATCACTCGTGTCTTCAGGTGTTTGCTATAAATAGAAGACTGACCCTCACTCTGCTGCATTTCGGTGTCTTCGGGTGCAAGTAGCCAGTAGAATCGTAGCCAGTCTGCAATGCAAAGTACCAGGCTATCACACAGCCAGCTGGAGAGCATCTCCGGACTCATTTACTTGGTAGTTTAGTTTGCATTAAACCTGAATAGACTGCTCGCAAAGAAGTATAATGCTGAGCGCCCCGCACGGCAAGCGTTGTGTTGAGTATTGAGTGAATTTCGAAATCGTGAAACTTCAGAATGCCACCGAAAACTGCAAGCGGGAACGCAACCAAGAAGGCTGGAAAGGCACAGAAGAACATCCACATCAACACTACCGACAAGAAGAAGAGGCGCAAGGTCAGGAAGGAGAGCTATGCCATCTATATCTACAAAGTTCTGAAGCAAGTCCACCCGGACACTGGTGTCTCCTCCAAGGCGATGAGCATCATGAACAGCTTTGTAAACGATATCTTCGAGCGCATTGCCTCGGAAGCCTCTCGTTTGGGTCACTACAACAAAAAGTCCACCATCACAAGTCGGGAAATCCAAACGGCTGTGCGGCTACTTCTGCCGGGAGAGCTGGCCAAGCACGCCGTCAGTGAGGGAACCAAGGCCGTCACGAAGTACACCAGCTCTAAGTAAATGCTCTTCACTGCAGCAATATACGAATGTGCGAGTAATTAAGCTCTTGGCAGGGCCCTAAATGTTTGTCATAAAGAAATAGAATTTAACATACTAATAAATTTATTTTGTATCTTGAATTGGGTCTTATAAATCTGTACAGTACAGAAGCAGTACATTTATTGCATCGTGATGGACGTCGCTCAAGTAGCTCTGGAACATACTACAATACTATACGGAAAATGGAAGCTACTATTTTGAGGCACAATTTATTATAGAAACATACATATTTATTTATTAATTTCATTACAAATTATCTGCTAATAGTGGAACTAAGTTACAAAAGGAGGAAAGAAGATAAGTTAAAAGTTTGTTTAACTTAGGTGATTGTAAATATTACATGCTATTAGCTTAAGGGATAGTACAGGTGATGAGGTATGACAGAGGGAGTTATAGTTGTGGCATATAACCCTAAAAGGTTCATGTTGGGCATAATTAGACCTACATATGGGAGAGCGGATTGGCCTAAAAGTACGGTAGGTAGGGTAGGTCTAGAGAGTTTGGGAGTCAACAATCCCGAGAAGGAGCTTGTGCACAAACATTACCCCATTACATATTCTGCGATGGTGCAGCGACGGCAGGTCAATTATTTTTGGTCTAGACCGGTAGGGTGGCAAGATTCAACCCGAGTCCCAGCTTAAGTTACGAAGGGCAAACATTCAAAATTGCTTTTGCAAGGATTCAAGAACAACCTGCTGCTCTTTATACTGCGGGCTCCATATAGAGGCACAGAATATCATATGAAAGCCTACGAAACACCTAAATAAAAGTCTGCATCACATACATATATGTGTACATAGTATTATAGCATTATATACTTTCTATATGTAGAGTATTTCTCTTTCTTTCTTTCTTTCTTTCCCAATCGCTCTATAGCTCCGTCTCGCTCTCTTCTAGGCTTTGCTGAATAGGTGTGCCCCCACTATTATGAATCATATACAATATATTCCTGCACTCCGTCGATCACAAATATTCTAGCTGTTGGCGCTACACTGGACGAGGATGAGGATGATACACGAGGAAAAGGGTATACCTAAAGTAAGGATCAACTGGTTTTGTATTAGTCCGCAAACAATAGTAGATAGTCTTGTTACAGCGTCCCCAGCTTTAATTAATATTGTACATAAATTTAGAACGGAATAAAAATGTTTAACAAACTATGGTATGGGGTTTGCATATAGAGACTCAAGCAGTTCATCATTTTCCTCGACTGTTCCACTCACTCGCACCGGACGTCGTACGAGTGGCATTGGCCTATGTCCGAGTTTATGGTGAAGTATAAGGCCACGCACAAGCTGACCACGACTATGAAGACAGCCAACCAGTAGACCACACGCCAGAAGGGCCAGTACGAAACCTTTGGCTCTGGTGGATGCATACTATCGGCGCTACGAGACGTCCTGTGGCGTCTTTGTTTTATTCTGTTGCTCATTTTGCCTGGTATTTAAGTTTCGATATCTCCAGCTAGACAAAGTTTCCGTTTCCAGCTCCCACCTGCTATAGTTGATTATATTCTCCCTGGCAACTCGATATGTACCTGACCTGAAGCTGTCACTCATGCCATTCGATTTGACTAACTGAGCTTCTCTATCCGTTACTCCGTTGCTCCATCTACCTTGGACCAGAGGACCACCGAGGGGTGCAGGGGCTGTACATAAGAGTTCGACGGCATAGACGGACAACTATTGCGGTGGACGATGCTCATAAGACATACGCAGGTTCGGAGTCAGCTATGGTCTGCTCTTGTAGTTCTATTTATTTATATTAATTAATTATTAGTCGTTTTCTAACTAAACAAAAAATGTTCCTCCTGTTTTGGTGAAACTGTCATTCGGAGTACAACCAATAAAAAGAAGAGGGATTGGTGGACATATAACACATAAATAGTCTTACAGGCATACGTACAATCGACTCTTAACCTTAATCTAGCGTCAAAGGTCCATTCGCTGGCGTTTGGGAAGATTCTCGGCGTCGTGCTTCTGCTTCTGTTGGGGATGTCCCCATGCTCCGTTTGTGTACCTACTACTGCTGCCGCTGCTGCTGCTGCTCTGGTACATCGGCGTGCGCGCCACATTGAGATCCCTCAGGGTGCGGCGCTCTTCCCTCAGTTTCTCGCAGTTGGCCAGCACACACTCAGCCTTGCTCACAATCTCGTCAAAGTTAAGCTCCTCCATGGGCGGGGGAGACTCTACCGCTTCGACAGGTGGTTCGGGGGAACCTGGTTCGGGCTGCTGAAAATCGTAGTACCACGGCGACTGGAAGTAGCTCTTCATGGTGCGTGTCCTGTAGACAATGACCTTCGGTGGGTCCAGCTCGCGACGCAGCACAAACTGCAGTCGCTCCAGGGCCAACAGCTGCGTTAGGTCCAGGTAGTTGGGCGCCTCCTGCTCCAAGCAGTGTACGGCCTTCAGGCAGATGCACTCCACCAGATTCTCCTGCTGGCTGACCTGGACACAGTCCAGCACCCACTGACAGAGGTCTTCCTGCCGATCTCGGCGCAATGGCAGCGCAGGCATCTGAGGCAGCTTGGCCAGTTCCAGCAGCTGGACAATGCGCCCGCGTTGGTTCGGTCGCTCCCATCCGGACACAAAGTACTCCAGACGGCTCTCTGGTAGGGGCTCCAGCGCAGACAAGGGCTCTACGAACGGACGCAGGTCATGTGGGAACTGGGGACAGTGCTGCAGATCCTCGCCAGCCACCAGCTGCAGGCGACGCACTGCCTCATTGTACAACTCAACGCAGAACTGCGGCGAATCCCGACTCTTCCGCCGGATGGTCTGGTCTACGTCTGCCGCATGCCTGAGGCGCCGGAATAGCTCCGGCCCCAGGTTGTCGACAAGGAAACCCCGCAGCTCTTCTTGCCGAAGAATCCCGCCGCGGCTGGGATGCGGCTGCTGGGCCAGAAACCTCAGGGCCGACTGCATCACTGGCATCAGCTGATTGCGCTGCGACATCTCCCGCAGGCAGAAGATACTCCAGGATCGGAGGCCCAGTTGATCGAGATGCTGCTGCAGCTGCCGCCACAGCCCCTCCTCGAGTGTCGACGCGTACATCGGATTCTCCAAGACCAGAGCTACGTCGGCGCAACGACTCTCCTGGATGATGGACTGGAGACGATGGGGGATCTCCTGCAGGTCCGAAGAACTGGCAAAGCAAACGATGCCATCGGCATGGGCCCAGGTCGATGACCCGGACCCCTGTCCAACGCGAATCTTCAGCACACTGAGCGCCACGCCATGGGCCACGCCATGTATATAGCCGCCTGGCTGCGGCACCGGCACCGGTTCGTCTGTGTTCTGCAGCGGCGGCCGCTGCAGTAGTCCTCGATCCAGGCTGTAGTCAAACTTGAGTCCCTCCTCGCCCTCGGGGAGGGAGAGCAGCAGCTTGTAGAAGCGTCGCGCTCCTGGCTGGCCCTGTGGCAGATATTGGGCGAGCACCTTCCAGAGATCCAGCTTCAGCCAGCAGCTGCGATCACCCATGCCGGTCAGCAGCTGGTTATAGTTGCAGGCCTCGCCCTGCCGATAGCGTCGTATGAGACGCAACGAATCCTCCACGGACTGCTCGTCGACCAGTTGATCCGGCTTCTCGGCACCGAAGCTGAGCGGCAGCTGGTTGAACAGTGTGTCCTTCTGCTGCTGAACACGACGAAAGTCGCGCCACCGCCGCCAATAAATGCGCATCAGACCAATCTCGTAGATGGACTTCTGGACCTCGCGCTCCACTAACTCACTGGTGATGCTATCCACCATGTGATCAAAGTATTGGCGGAACTGGCACTCGAGAATATGCTGACGGGAAGCTATACTGTGCAGCGTCTCCTCGAACAGTTCCTCGTACAGGCGGAGGGCCTGGGCCTGCAGGCGAGACTCACGCTGCTGCAGCTCCAGTTGTTGCTGCTCCCGACGCTGTCTCTCCTGCTGTTCCAGCGTCTCCTGCATTTGCTGCGCCTGTTGCTGCTTTCGCTGCTGCTCCGCCTCCTGTTCGTGCCTGCGACGCAGCAACTCCGCCTCCTGCTCTTGCTGGCGCTGCTGGCGCACGCGCTCCGCTTCCGCAGCCTTAGCTGCCTGGAGAGCCATAAGTTCGGCCTCACGCTGCTTGGCTGCAGCTATGGCCTGCTGCAGAGCCATCATTCTGGCCTCTTCCTGGGCCCTTTGGGCCTGCTGCTGGCGCTGTTGCTCTGCCAGAGCTACAGCCGCTGCCTCCTGCATCTTCGATTTGGGCGGCGAAAAGCTGAAGCCTCCTGCTCCCGCTGTTGCCGGCTGCATGGGCACCTTAAACAGGTTGTCCCTTTGATGAGGTGGTTGGAGGGACTCCTCTTCTGGCTCCTGGTTGGGCATCTGATCCTTGGCCGACCAGGCGCTTCTCTTCAGCATTTGGTGCGCATTGAAACTGTTGTGCGGACGATGGCTGCTATAGAGGGTCTTGGGCGGCAGGGGCTCGCCGCAGATGCATTCACCCACGCTCTGATATCGCTTGGACTCCACCAGCTGTAGGACAGGAGCAGAAGCAAAATAATGAAAGAAATCTGCAGAGGATGCAGCGTTAGTTAGCTCACCTCCAGCTGACGCTCCAGCTTGTAGTCCACCTCCGGATTGTCCATTGAGGTGAGTACTACGCGATTGTCCTGGTTGATCTCCAGGCCATAGTGCTGGACAAAGTTGGCGGCCTCCTGCTGGCTTTCACAGGCCAGCATCTGGGCCACATAGGCGAGGGGCAGCGAGGACACCTCGTTCTTGCGTGGTGCCCTGTAGCCCTGGATGAGGCGGTGAAGGGCGAGCACGCGCAGGCGTGTGAAGTACCTCACGAGGATGCAGGCACTCAGATAGCTTGTTTCCGGATGCCTCAGCAGCTGGAAGAAGCGCACAAAGTTGGTGTCCTGCAGCGACAGATAGAACTGGATGGCCTGCCGGATCTCAGCGCAGGTCTGCAGCTCGTCGGGCAGCTGGCCCACGTCCCACAAAAAGTTGGCATCGGCCAGATTTAGCAGGACAATGTAGCCCCGAAACTCGGCCTCCCTGGGGCACTGTACCCCCTTCAGCCGGAGGTCGTGGTACATGTACTTGAGCGTCTGCAGACACTTGGTTAGATTGTCCGCATTGATCTTGCCATCGAAGACACTGGGATCCTCTGCCACCAGACGACCCGCGCAGTGGATGTGAAAGCGGGCACACTGCTCCACCAGCTTTACGGCTCCCAAAGAGCAGAGCTCCTGCTGGGTGATCTCCTTCCGAATGGAGCGCGTGCGGTCCCACACAAAGTGGAACCAATCGCCCAGCGGCTCCCGGTCGTTGTCCATGATCTCGTGCATCAGGTAGCTCATGGTCATGTGCAGCGCGGGCTCGCCGCGCAGTTCGTGTGGCAGCGGCGTCTCCTGGTCGGCACTGCTGCGTGAATATTGCTTGAGGGCCAGCTCATGGGAGATCAAGCCACCGGGCTGCCGCGACAGAGAGTCGGGCTGAAGCTCAAAAACGGACACCTGGCGCTGAAACTCACGCAGCAGGCGCTCCTTCTCCGGACACATGTCCGGGCAATAGCCCTGCGTGCTGCCCGACATCTGGATATCCAGCTGACGGTGTGACTGGTTGAGACGCAGCAGCTTGTCCCTAGCATCGAGTACCCGGAACTTCTCCTCGCTGGTGTACGCGGGCCGCAACATTACAGCCTCCAGCTCCTGTGCGTAGGCCTTGGACTGGGCGGGCGGCTGTCGTTCTCTACGTTCGCTGGGTGCCTGCGAAGAGGAATGTTGTTGGGATCTGGAGCCAGCAGCAGGCAGCTCGGGAGTCATTTTGATAGGCTTCGAAGGCTGGTACTGTTTTGGCCAGCCGCTGCTTATGGCATTCAGTTCGGCCTGCACTTCGGGATCCACCCACTGCTCTGTCTTTTGGGCCGGTGCGGTCTCCTTCTCGGCATACGACATGTGGAACTCGTGCCCGTTGTAGACGTTGCCTTCGTGCAGGGCTAGCTCTGCCTCCTCTTCGGTGGCATAGCTCACAGTGCAGGTCATGCGACACGGTCGGAGCACGAAATTTACCAAATTTCCAAAGCGCCCGAAATGTGTGCGGGCCACGAATTTGTCCAGGAACAGTTCGGGTATATCCGTGCATCTGTGGGATAGATGTCGGTTATCGGCTTATCCGTAACCGGACCTACCAAAAGAACTTACAGTAGCGTTTTATAGTTGTAGGCGCCTGGTCGGGAAGCCTCCATTGCATTTCCTTCGATTTTGTTATCTTCAATTTCTTTTTGTCTTTTTTTTTGATTTTAAATCATCTCACGGATGATTGGTGTGGTAGTTTGGCGAGTTTGACAGGTCGGTATATAACACAAAACAAAAAAGTTTCATTAACCACAAAAAACAAGCAATATACGGTCCCACCTTCGGAAAAATGTACCGAAATATACCGTCTAGTTTTAAAAATATACTGTAAATATACTGACGAAGTCAAGTTCTGTTATACATATTCCTCGTTTTTGATATTCCGTCGAATATTACTTGCTATATGGAACATTTAGCCATGCCCACATAAATTTTTACGATTAATGAACCTATTTTCTAATTGACTGGTTTATTTTAAAAACTTGCCTTAATTGCATTTTGCGTAAAAAGAGATTTTAGCGAAAATGGTCAAACAAAAAAAGGTTTTGGCGCAATAGGTCACAACAAAAACACGAAAGACGATAGTCGTTCATATTGTTCAATTTTTATA